GTGGTGTAATGAGGCTGGGAGGGTGGTGCTGGGTGGCATGTGACTGTGTTGGGTGGACATGCCAGGGAGGGGCAGGGGGAATCCACATTGCCTTGAGGTGCTTACAGAGATGTGGACGTCAGCAGGATCAGGTGACCCCTGAAATTGGGGGTTGGGGGATGAGGTTCTCCAAGGAGAGCAGGAGAGACAAAGGCCAAGGTTCTGGGCATTGCTAACCCTGGGAGGCAGGAAGAAGCAGGGATGGAGACCTCGGGGAAGATGTTTCCCGAGAGCGGGTGGGGAGCACGAGCAAGGTGGGCGAGCAAAGGACAAGAGGGTCAGGAAGGAGAGTGGACCCTAGAGTTAGCACAGAGAGGGGGCTGGGACCCCAGCACAGTCCCCCAGAGGAGTGTGGGGTGGGAGGCAAGGGGCAGGAGAGCTCAGAGGTCATGAGTGGAGGAAAGAGAAGGCAAGGTGGAGACGGGGGTGAGGAGGACAGGGTGGGTGTTAGGTGGACCAGAGGGTCAGGGAGGGCAGAACTGGCTTTGGGACAGGAAGAACAGCTTCCGCGGGCCTGGGAAGGACGGGGTGGCTGGAGAAGGGATGGGGTTAATTAGGGTCCCAAAGGACTCCAGAAGCCCCGGAGCCCCTGGTTCCTGGTTGTGACACAAGACTGACCTAGAAGTGCCCCCCTCCCTTTTCACCGAGGGGTGGTTTGTCTCCCTAAGCCCAGAGCAGCTGGGGTGCAGGAGCGCAGCAGACCAATCGCAGGTGCCCCGGTTTACGGTTTCTAGGCTTGGGGCACAGGAAGGCCTGGGAATGGCGGAACTTCCAAGTACACCGAAGCTGCAGTAATGGGGCGGGGGGGGGGGGGGGGCGGGGGGACGTGTCATGAGAGAGAAAAACCGATGGGGCAAAGGAAAGAAGACTGGGAATACGCGCAGCGCCCGGCTTCGGTGCCCTGAAGCGTCAGTTTGCAAACAGAAAAATGTATTTTCTAAAATAGACAAAGTACTACAGATAATTCCCAAAAGAAGACACCCAGCTGGTTAGCAAACATATGGGGATCTAGTCAAGTTCATTCGTATTCAGAGAAATGCAAATTCAGATGACATCATTTGTTTTCTATTTTTGCTAGAAAATGAGCAGAACTTAAAAAAACCCTAGAACACCCAGTGCTGCCGGGGCAGCGCATCCGCATCCGCACGGCGTGAGCGCCCTAGTGCCTCTCCGGCCCCGGAGGTTTCACATATGCAAAGGGGTGGTCTGCAAAGGGGGTGATCAAGACACTCAGATTTTGTGAGATTCGGGTTCACAGTAGCCATTGGAGTGCTCTGGGTTTGTCCCAATCTGGTTTCCTCCAAGCTGGATGAGCTCTCACCCAGACCTGGGACGCTGGCAGACAGTGGCCCGGCAGGGACCCCCTCGGATACCCCCTCCCCACTTTGCCTTGGGATTTAAAAATAGGAGGGAGAAAGAGAGGGAGGAGGGCCAGGATTCCTGGAAGATTCCTGGAGTAGGGTGCTCCCCGCCCCAGCAGGCCATCTCTCCCGCTGGGTCCAGAGAAGCTGGGCGGGCCCCAGGAGGGCATGGCCCTTGATTCAACCCTGAGTTCAAGTCCTCCGCAGGGACTAGCTGTGAGATATTGGGCAACTTTCCACACCTCTCAGTCTCGGTTTCCTCACCTGCAGAGGGGCAGGTGGTGGGAGAGGATTAAGGGCCATCAGGTGCACACACCCAGCCCGGGCAGCATCCCAGGCAGCTGATACACCCATAAAGCAGCCGTTTCCTCAGCTTTCAATGGGGCTGATCATTTGTACAGAAGAACTCCCAGTGAGCGGAGCAGGAGACGTGGGAGTTCTGTAAGTGCTGAGGTGTGCTCAAAGGTCAGCTCACGCTTTGGATGGCTGGTTTGCTTAGCAGTGGGAGAGAAGAGCTGGGGAGATACATGTTATACAAACAGGAGCCCGAAGCCTGGCACAAAGGAAGCATCTCATGAGCATATTAAGAATACGCAGCGTAGCGGTTGAGCGCTGGGTGGGAAGCTGCCGGCAGTCTCTGCGGCGCCGGTTCAATCCCCGGCTGCTCCCTGGCCTCGGAGGAGGGTCCCGCATGGCGCGCAGACCTCTCCTGCCGCCCGCTGCTCCCCTCAGCAGTGTGCTTCAGTCCTTCTGCCTGCTCTGCTCCCCGCTCTGGCTCTGGTGAATTGCGCTTCTAACTGTACCCAGTGCTTGTATGTATCAATCGAATACGCAGCGTAATCAGTAATAAGCAATGCTAGGAAATTGGAAGAGGCCTGTGATAGGTGGGCCGCTGGGAACAAGATAAGGGCCAGGAGGTGCTGAAGGGGACCCTTTGACATCATTCCCTCCCAGCAGAGGGTTTCACCGGACTCACAGGAAAGGTGGTCCTGGCCCTCCAGAAAGCGGCCCTACAGAAGGGAGGACGAGAACCCCAAAGAGGGTCTTCGAAAAGCCAGCCCTGGTCTTCTCCACAGTAGCCAGCTTAGAGGTCTGCTGATTCGAGATTATTTAAAAACTACTCACCTAATCCTACATGGTCACAGTGCAGGTGGGGAAATTGAGTCTGGGAGCCAGGACTGCCCCACACAGGGGTCAGCTAGCAGTTTGCTCTCAGCAGGTGGCTGACCGCTGTTACTGAGCACTTACTACTACTAAGCACTTACCCACCCCACTGTGGCCCAAGGTCCCACAGGGAAGGGCTTGGGTGCTATTTGGAGTTTTGAACCCTGGGGCAGGTGAACAGGGACCAGCTAGGCCAGCAAGGTTCTTCTGAACTGTGCTGGCAAAGGGTGGCTCCCTCTCTAGAAACTGTGGATGAGGCCCCTCCCTGTTTGCAGGAGGTGGGGTCTCCTGCAGGGTGAGGTCACCGGCTTTGTGTCATTCATCTGGAGAAAAAGCAGGTTTCTCCGAGGGAGTGTCCCAGGGGACTCCGGAGGACTCATCTCTCTTTTTAATGATCTCCTTTTATTGATTGTGCCAAGTGCTGATAAGTGTGCACACTTTAAAAACTACTCACCTAAAACTACATGGTCACAATGCAGGTGGGGACACTGAGGCTGGGAGCTAGGAATGTTCCCCATGGGGTGAACAGAGGTGTGCTCTGAGCACAGATCCTTGCTCAGGACACTGTTAGTAAACCCAGTTTACGAAAGAGAGTAAGGCTGGGGGAAGTTAAGTCACTCAGCCCATGGAGGGGTGGGAGAGGCCAGGATTTGGGTCACAGGCTAACTTGAGAGCCCCTACTTACAACTAAACAAAAAAAGATAAAACTTATTACAATGAAAATTGCAGGAGTGAGAGAATTTTTATATGCTCTTTACCTAGCTTTGTCAATTAATATTTTCTTTAAAATATTACATTTTCTTTGAAATCCCCCACCTATTGGTCTTTTCGATCTGTCTGTGCCACCTCTGTCATCTATCCCTCCATCTACCTATCTTTATTTCTTCCTATCTTTCCAGCTGTCTGCCTGTCTGGCGAGCTATTATCTTAGTTCTGAACTAAATTGTTCACAGATGCCCCTTTATTTCTAAATGCTCGTTTGTCTCCCCAAATCAAGGTGATTGTCTTCTATGACCACAGGACCATGATCAAAATCAGGAAATTAGAGGCCTCCCTGGTGGTGCAGGGAGTTGGGACACAGCCTATGAAGTTGTCCGCGGCCTCTGCAGCACGAGTTCGATCCCCCGGCCCGCCAGGGAGCAACCCTCATGGCGCAGCAGACCTCTCCTGACTCGCCCTCTGTTCCCCTCAACAGTGTATCTCAATCAATCTGCCTGTTCTGTTCCCCACTCTCTCTGGTGAATTCTCTCACCTGCCACACCTCTGGCTTGTACCCCAGTTCTTGTATGGATAAATCAATCTTTAAAAAAAAATCAGGAAATTAACACTGATGCAACACCATTGTCTGATCTACAACCCTTATTTGTATTTTATCAACTAAGAATGTCCTTCAAAGCTTAAGAAAATCCTGGCTCACACTTTGCATTCACTGCCTGCAACTCCTCAGACTCCTCCAGCCTGGAACAGTCCCCAGTCTGCCTTTGTAGTTCATGATCACGTCATGCTTTCAAACGTACAGCCCAGTTATTTGGTAGGTCAGCTCTTTCCTCACAACCAGCCCCATCATGTGAATCCTTGCAGGAAGTGTGCACAAGCCATGCCGTGCCCTTCTCAGAGGCCCACTCAGGAGCTACCCATGCCAATTAGTCCCCTCCCGGCGTATTGACTGATCACTTGTGAAGCAGGTATGGGCCAGCTGCTATTTCCCTACGTGCAGGTGCCCACGGGGCAATGCTCTGAACTACGGAAATATCATGTTCTTCATGAAGATTTTACGTCTACTGATGATTCTTGTTGGACACCATTACTACTATGGTGTTCAGCTGATGACCATTTTCTGATTTGATTATTCCTGGTACCGTAGAGTTTGCCCAGTTGCTTTAGTGTGGACTCACGGATTTTTCTGTTATCCAGTGGGTATAATCCATTATTACCACTATTTGATTTTTTGCTGGCTGAAACGGAGGGTCCCCGATCCGTTCAGGGGAAACCTATTTTGCCTGTCTGAAAGGGTCCGGGCATCAAAGCAGTGATGGAGCAGCAGCAAGCGCAGAGATCTGCGAGAAGGAAGCCTGGCGGGCTGAAGGCTGAGGGCGGGGCCCCGGAGTCGCTGCAGGGGACGGCGCCCGAGCAGGAGGCCGGGCGGACCGGGCAGGTGCTGCCTGATGTGGAGGAAGGGAGCGAGGTCCCGGGTTTGGGCTTCAACCCCCGAGGCTGGGGGAGGGGGAGCCGAGGGCTGGAGGTCGGGAGGAGTTTGCGGTCCCCACTGGCCCCGACGGAGAGGCGGGGCGGGCGCCAGGCAGAACCTGCGCTCGGGGGAAGTTGTTCGCTCTGGGATACAAACTGGGGGCGCAGCGGCACACACATGGCCTTTAAAACCACGGGACTGGATGAGATCATCGGGCCGGAGGGGGTCGGTCGAAAGGAGAAGAGGCCTGGGACCGCGGACGGTAAGATGACACCGACGGCGCCCCACCCGCGCGGCTCCCGAGGTGTCGGGCGGCCGCGTCCAGCCGGACGGCCGCGGGGGCGGGGCCTGGAGGGGCGGGGCGGGGCCTGGAGCCCGGGGCGGGGCCTGGAGCCCGGGGCGGGGCCTGGAGGGGCGGGGCCGGGGCCGCTCCCGGGCCGGTGACGTCACCGCATGACTGGGTTTTTATGAATGAAAGGAATCCTGTGAGTGAGTAATTCCGGGAAGCTCGCCTACAACTCGGCGCTGCCCCCCGCGCCGCGCGCCCCACAACAAGACCGGGCGGCGCTCCGGAGCCCGCTCCGCGCGGCCGCGTCGGGACCGAGGGGAGTCGGCGCCGGCGCCGGGCCGGGCGGCCGCGAGGTGGGCGAGGCGGGGCCGGGCGGGCCGGGCCGGCGCGCGGGCGGCGGGGTCTCCGCGCCCCGGGACGTGCTGGGCGGGGCGCCCGGGCCCGCGGGCGGGGGGTGCTCGGGCGCGTCCCCTCCGGGCCGCGGGGGCCGGGCGAGGTCCGGGGGGCCCGGGCGCGGGGCAGGGGCGGCGGGGGCCGGCGGGCGCGGCGGCAGGAAGGGGCGCCGGCGGCCGGGCGGGCCGGCGGCCGGGCGGGGCGCGCGGGGTGCGCTCCTACGTGCGCGCGGAGAGCCGGCCTGGCGCGGCGCCCCGGCCGTGCGTGCGCGTTTGTTTACGGCCCGGGCGGGGGGCGCGCGGGGCCCCGGCGGGCGCCCCGGGGTGCGCTGCCCCGCGCCGGCCGTGCGCGCGCGGGGTGGGGTGTGTGCGCGTGTGCGCGCGTGCAGGGGTGTGCGGGGGGTGTTCTCTGGCTCTCCAAGCGGATGAAGACCTGGGGCCCGCTGGGGGCACCGGGTGCGCAGTGCACTTCGCAGGGAGGGAGTTCTTGGGCTCTCCCAGGTGGACGAAGACCTGGGGCCTGTGCACCAGCAAGCTGGGCCTCGGGGAGTGTCCCCACATGAATAAACCCGTAGAAGGACCTGACCAAGGGCACCGGCCTGTCCCTGCTTACATGGGCTGGGGAATTCTTGCCCTGGCCACCCCCTCGCTCTCCCCGGAGTTTCCCAGGGCCCCAGTCACGTGACCACAGTACTCTCCCCTGCCCAGAGCCAGTGCCTGCAGCCACAGGGTGGGGCAAAGCGTCAAAGACCCTTTCCAGCTCCCTGTGCGCGGGCCCTTGTGTGCCTGTGGGGAGGCTGCCACCTCTACCCCTCACTCTAGTTCCCCGCAGGGCCTGGCAGCCGAGTGGCTGGCACCCAGGTCCTTGTCCCCAGGTTTTACAGCTGCCCGGGGAAGGTGCCCATCCTGTTGGTCTCAGGAGAAACTGCAAGAGCCAGAAAACCCTGGCAAAGGTGGCAGTAGGATGGGGTCCAGGCTTCCTCGCATTTGGTGGCTACTCTGCCAGTCAGGGTCCAGGAGGTAGTGCCTGCTGGTGCTGGGAGGGTGGGACGGGAGGATGGGGTGGAGCTGGTTTCTACCCTTCTTCTGGTTTCACTTCACAGGTGGGACTAGTCACACCAACCTGTTGACATCGGGACTTGAATTGAGGGCCTGTGCCAGCATGGGGATTCCCCCCAGGGCCAGACCTGAGCAACAGGCACAGCCAGAGGTCTCGGTGCATGAGGGTTTATGTCTGAGGGGTGGACACAACATCTCCTCTTTCCCCCATCAGCCCTGCAGCAAGCTTGCCTTTTTGTTCTTGTTTTTACCTGCAAGCGGAGGGATGGGGATTCCTGGGCCCTGTTCCTCCCTCCCTGTCCTCCTACTCACAGGGCTGAGGAATCATGTGTTGGGGGGCGGGGGGATTGAACTTACAGGGGTAAGGAACCAGATAATCTTTTAGCACTGACTCTTTGAGTGTGATGAGCTCTGCCCCCATAGCTGGGAACCTCAGTGTCCCCCGTCTGCGACAGAAAGAGGTGAGGTCCTGGCCGGAAGGATGGGGGAAGGAGGGCTGTCTGGCAGCCATTAGGTAAAGCCTGCTGTCCAGGGGAACCAGGGGAGAGCAGAGCCAACAGGCCAGGCTGGAGTCAGGGATGGCCAGGGGCGTGGAGGCTCGAATAAGGGGCATAGCAGCCAGAAACACAGGAACCAGAGAGGTGGCTCCTCAGCGGTGGGCAGGCAGGAAACAACCCCAAGGAGGGCTGGGGAGTCGGGATGAGGGAAGAGGCTAATTGGCTCAATGTCAGATGGGAAGCTAGCACCAAAGGGCTTAACCTCCCACTAAATCACCCCGGGCCTCTGGGCCTCCCTTGTCCTGACACTTTGAGTCTGCATTGCCATGGAGCCCATCATCAGAGCCTGCCCCTGGGAGGCTGCCCCCTTACAGTCAAGGGGGAGACACAAGGCTGAAGGAAGAGCCACCGAGCTGAACCACACCAGCTGTGAAGGGGGGATCTGAGGGGAGGAAGCAGTGTGTTTGAAAGTATATAATAGGCAATCAAGGAAGTCTTCCCTGAGGAGGTGACCAGTGAGCAGAGTTATCAGATTAAGTGATGGTCTGTGAAGCCCTGAAGGGTGGGGGCTGTGATTAATTTTGGCACTTAGGGCCCAGCACAACGTAGGTGCTTCTTGGCTGTTTGCTGAATGAATGAATGAGTGAGTGAGTGAGTGAGTGAATACTGGGTCCATGTCCCAAAAGAGCTCCTTACTAATGGAGAAGAGGCCTTGGGAACCCCAGGAAGCAAGAAGCCTGGCTTAGACTGAAGGATCCTTGATGCAGTCTCCCAAAAGTGAGCACACATCCTTGAGGACCCAGCGACTTCTCCTGTCCTCTCTCTGTCTCTCGCAAACACACACACACACATGCATATGCGCGCGCACACACACACACACACCATTTATCCCTTTGGGAGCTGGGCAGGCACAGTAGCTTTTACTGCCTGTTCATTCATTTCTTAGCATGAGGACCTGGGGAGAGCATGCAGAGGTCATGGAGGGCCGCGGGAAGGAGGGGCTGGAGGGGAGGCCGGCCTGGCAGGGCTTTGAAATGGGCAGGTGTACAGATGGTGTCAGTGAAGCCCTCCGCCAGCTCTTGGGGGCAGGGTACACAGTGGCGTTGGAGGTGGAGGCAGGCAAGACTAGAGGCCAGTGAGGAGGCAGCTGTGGTTGTGCTTCAGCTGAAAAAGGAAATGGTCCCTGGAAGTGCAGGTGAAACAGAGAGATGGCCAAGCCTGATAGTCTCTGAGTTTGTGTTCTCATGCCCCTGCCTCCAGGAAGTCTCTCCTGATTTCCTCTGCCTTCCTCCAGAGCCTCGCCTCCAGTCTGGTGGTGGCCTTTGAGCGCCACTCCAAAATCTGACCCTTTGTTTTTGTTTTTTTTTTAAGATTTATTTTTATTTTATTTATTTATTTATATAAGCACTGGGTACAGTCAGAAGCACGGGAGGGTGAGAGAATTCACCAGAGCCAGAGCGGGGAGCAGAGCAGGCAGAAGGACCTAAGTACACTGCTGAGGGGAGCAGCGGGCTGCAGGAGAGGTCTGCGCGCCATGTGGGACCCTCCTCCGGAGGCCGGGGAGCAGCCAGGGATCGAACCGGCGCTGCAGAGGCTGCGGGCAGCTTTGCAACCCAGCGCTCAACCGCTGCGCCACGGGGGAGGCCCCAAAATCTGACCCTTTGAACTCCAAGGCCATCAGTGCTGAAAGCACCTCAGGCTTGGTGGAGCTTTGGCATGTTGGGAAATTGAGGCTCAGAAAGAGGGATGGATGTACCCGGAGTCATGAGGAGAGCAACTGGGTGGCCAAACCAGAGCTGGAACCCTGGGCCCCTGCGTCCTGGTGGTGCCGGGTTCCCCCAGCCTTGCTCGCCTTCCAGCAGGGAGGAGGCTCCACTGCACTGCTGCCAAAGCCCAGGAAAACACATTTTTTCCCTCTCTCCTCACAGAGGAAGCAAAATGGCCCAGCAGCCAGAGAGGAGCCCATGCCAGCGGGTGGGCCGTCTAGGGGTTGTCTCTGGAGTGCACTGCAGGGGCAGGGAGGGGGACTAGGAGGGGTGGTGGCTGCTGACTGGGCCGGCCAGCTGTCAGTCCCCTGAGAGTAGTTCATTCTCCATGCTTCCCACACAACCTGCAGCCCCGGAGGTCAAGTCTCCTGATCCCCAGGGAAGAAGCGGGGCGTGTGTGTGTGTGTGTGTGTGTGTGTGTGTGTGTGTGTGTGTGTGTGTGTGTGTGTGTGTGTGTGTAGGAGAGCATGCGGTCACGGCACTGCACAGAGTCCTGGGCTGGGGTCAGGACCTCTGGATTCTAGCCCACCCGGCCCCCAAAGAGCGGCCAACTGCAGAACAAGGAGGTTAAATCAGCTGCTGTCTCAGGCCAGGGGTTCACCCGAGTGATTGAGGCCGCCTGCCAGGGGACCCGCGTCCCGTGGCGTGCAGCCCAGCAGCCCCTGAGCGGAGCTTGGAGGCCGAAAGCCCGAGCTTATCAGAGAGTTCCCCTTTCTTGTGACTCTCCCCCTGTGATTGCCCGACTTTGCTGAGCTAGGACATTCCTGGGCAGACATGGGTGTCTCAGCTGACATCCAGGATGCGGCGGGCAGCGGGGCTGAGGCTAGAACAGGAGCGGAGAGGAAAGGAGGGAAGAGCAGGTTCAAAGCCTCCCCAGCAGCACTTAGAAGCGCCACAGCCGAGCGCCGCCCTTCAGTCCTCACGCAGAGTCGGGAATGGCGACAGCGTCCACCCCGGGCTGACTCGGGAGGGCCTGCTGAGGATTCTGACGCTGTGCCCAAGCTTGGGCAACAGTGCTGGGAGTGATCGGTGATGCCTGTGCTGAAAGTAGAGGGACGAGGCTGCAGTAGCCCTTTGTCCCTCCCGATCGTGTCCACGCCTCTTGTATTTTACACACCGATGCCGCCAGGACCATGCCCGCTCTATAGGCGAGGACACCAGGCCCAGAGAGGAAAACGGCTTACGCGAGGAGCCAGGCCAGGCCTCCAAGCTTCTGCATCAGCCACAGCACCAGGACTCAGCACCCACCAGCCTGGGCGTCACCCAACACCCCCCGCAAGGAGGGCCAGGACGCCTGTGTGTCCTTTGCATGTCTAGCAGACCCAACACAAACCCTGGCACAGCAGCGCTGCACAGCGCTGGAGTCCGGCGGGGCAGCCTCTTCTCCCCATGGAGGCCCCAAGCGCGCCCTCTGGGAGGAGGCACGTGGGTCGTGGCCTCAGCCCTGGACTCCACCCCTCGGCTCTGCGCCCTGTACGCTGCACTACCCTCCGGTCATTTTCTCGCAGGGGAGGACCGAGGCGGTAACCATGTGAGAGGGGTCGGGATGCAGTCCTGGGGGCTCCACAGGTGTCCAGGATCCCTCTTAGGAGTGGCAGCCCCTCATCTGCCGGGGGATCCGGGCAAGAGACACCCTCTCTGGGTCTCACTTGCCGTGGGTAAAGGGAGGCGGCGGAACCAGATGGACTCTCAGGGCCTTTTCTGAGGGACCCTGCCAGCTGGGAGACGCTGAGTCCAAGGTTCCAGTGATCGCTACAGGCCTGACCCTGCCTGGACAGACTCGGCAACTCTGAGAGCCCCAGGGGTTCACTCACCTCTACAGCTTATACCACTTGGTCCCACAGAAAGCTTGCGAGGCAGGTGTGGTTCCAAGCCTTCAGTCACACAGTCTGGAAAAAACACAAGGGACTCAACCCAAGCCCTGACTCTCAATGCAGTGCTCCTTTCTCGCTCCCCCATCCCCAGCCGGGGGCCAAGCATCGGAGGATGGATTCCCCTTTGCTTCCTTCTCATCCTCCTGGCTCCGTGCAGAAGCAAAGAGTCAGATGGAAAGAAGGAAGAATTGGAAACAGGGCCAGAAAGTTTTTCTCTCGGGTGGACGGTATTCAGCTGGGCTTGAGTTTGGCGCTTGGGTCAGACGCTGCCTCAGCATCCAGAACTGCCTTGGCCCGCTCCCTGTCTGGTGAGGGGAGACAAGGAAACAGACCATTAATTACAACACGGGAGAAGGGTGGGGTGGGATGTGCCTAACACATTTACAGGTCAGGGAGGGCTTCCTGGAGGAGGCAGTGCCTGCTCCCAGGGCAGAGGGATGAGTAGGAGTCTGCTAGATAAAGTAGGAAGGGGGAATGTCACAGGGTGTGGAGCAGCCCAAGAAAGCAAGGGGGGAGGGAGGGAAAGAGATTCCTGGTGACTGGAGGGCAGAGGGGAGGTGGGCCTGGACTTTTTCCCCAGGAAAGTAGGGAGCCATGGAAGGCCTGCATCTGTGTGGTGATGTGATCAGATGCGTGAGGTGGAGGGTGAGCGAAGGCCAGCAGAGAAGCATGGGGGTACCTCTCTTGGGGTGTGGGGGGGGCGGGGGGGCATTTTAGAGACTTGTCTTGAAGGGCAGGCTGGTGGGGTAGTTCACGGGGGTCTCCAGGTAGTGTCTGTGGAAGTCGGGGCATGATTTGGGACTTCTGGGCCTGTTTCCCCAGCACCAGGTGCCTTCGCAGACCCTCCAGGCCTCAGGACCATGGTGGCTGTCAAAGTGCCAACTTCCTTCCTTGTTTCGCTCCCTGCTTCCCTCCAGGGTGTCAGAACCCCTGGCTGCATGGGCCCGGAGGGGCTGGGGGCTTCCTGGGGAGCCCTGGCCCGCCCCCACTCCAGTCTGAGTCACTCTGAGAATTCAACAACTATGACTTCAGCACGGAGTGTGTGCCCGGCTCTCTGCAGGCGCTGGGGCCCCGGCAGGGGTGAGCCAAGGGAGTGGCAAGCAAGCGGGGAGCCCGGCGCTGAAGAAATACTAAAATATATGTGGTTAATAACAATAATTATGTCTAGTGAAGAATGCCCTAGAGAAACAGGAGGCAGGAGGAGTGTGTGTCAGGGGCTGGGAATTCTGAATCGAGTGAGGACGTGAGATTCGAAGGCCTGAAGGAGGTGAGGACTCGCGTGTTGTGGGAGGGAGGAGAGGTGCATGGCGGACAGAGGGAGCAGCTGGTGCAAAGGCCCAAGGAGCGTGTTCGAGGAGAGCGTGAAAAACAGCAGGGGGGCAGGAGCGGGAGCCCAAGGCAAGAGATGGCTGCTGAGGCCACACCATGCTGCGCCCATGGGTCCCGGAGCCAACTTTGGCCCCAGGGAGATGGCGCCTCTGGGGGGCCCTGAGAGAGGAGTAGAACCATCTGGCTTAATGCACAAACTCCGTGTCACTCATGGGGAAACTGAGGTGCAGTGAGTTAACTGTGCTGCCAGAATCCCACACTTCCCTTTTCTCCACTGTCTCCACACGGACCTGCCTGTAGGGCCAGGGGCCAAACGGGGGCTGAGTTGGCCCCAAGACAGCTCAGCTCAGCTAACCAGGTTCCCTCGCTCGCACTTCTCTGTCCAAGTGGATGTTGCTCGTGGGAATAGGATGGTGTCTCAGGTCTCAAGGCCCCTTCCTGCCCTGCTCTCCCAGCCACCCTCTCCCATGCGGTCATCCCATGAGGGTGTGCAGGCTGAGGAGGGTGGGGGCCCTTTGGGAGACCGTTAGCTTCCCAGTAGAGAATGGTCACCACTGGCCCCAGAGTGTACCCTCCATGACTCCCCAGGGCCAAGCACATAGCTGGCAAGTAATAGACGTTTAATGAGTATTTAAGTGAACATGGGGCTTTCAAGCCCATGGGGGAGGCATCGAAGGTCATGTCTGTGCCGTCTGCCCGAGGTAGCCCTGAATTGGTGCTGGGCAGCTCCCAGGCGGCGGAAGCTTTCCCCAAACACAGGAGGAGGAAGCTCAACAGGGGAGGGTTGTGTTGTATCTGTGGGTGCTGGTTGGACTCTGTGAACAGTCACTGACTAGTGCATTTGTGTACTTTTCTATACGTAGGTTATACGTTAAAGAAAAGATTTAAAAAAAAAATCAGATCAAATATGCAAATCTGGGTCCCGTGCGGAATAATGGCTGAGGTGGGGTGGGAAGGGGTCTGTGCATTTGGTGCATATTTACTGAGCACCTACTATGTGCCGGGCGATTCAGGCATATTGACGCAGTGGTAAGACAGGCTGGGCCTCCGCCCTCGTGGGCTTACATGTGAGTGGAAGAGGAGAGACGGGGACAGCCAGACCAGGAACAAGTAACAGACATGACATAACTGCAGAAGAGGGGCCTGTTGTGAAGGTTAGTTCATGAGGTCCTGCGATGCAAGCGGGTGTTTGAGCTGAGACAGTCAGACCTCTCTGAAGAGGGGGCAGTGGGCATCTAAATGACGAGAGTCACCATGGGCAGATAGAAGAAAGAGAACAGTCGAGAACAGAGAGCATGTGCCAAGGCCCTGAGGCTGGATTGAGCAATTCAGGGAGGCCGCTGTGCTGGTCCAGGGGAAGAGGAAGGTGGTGTGAATTGTGTTCCAGGACAGCAGGAGCCTTCAGTGCCAAGAAGCTGAGTTTGGATTTTATTCTAAGCGGCGGAAAAATGATCCCGGCCTTCTCTCTCCTTTAGGTCTCAGCCCAGAGGGCGCCTTCTGCAAACATGTCTGTGGATCCCTTATCCAGCAAAGCCCTGAAGGTGAGCAGACACCCCAGCTGTCCCCATGCCCCCTCTTACCCTCCAGCCCAACTTTCCCTCCAGTTCCTGGAACCAGCTGAGGGGAGGGAGCTCAGCAGGCACCGGGCATTCTTGAGGCCAGAGGCCTGGGCCTGGTCACGTGCCACTGCCCTTGCTGGGCGTCTCTGCTGCGCCCGGGCTCCGGGCTAGAGTCAGGCTGCGCCCTGGGGTGGTCCTTTTGTGCTCAGGTCCCGGTTCGGTCAAGTGTTCCCCTTCGTCTGTCCCCACTGGGGTCTTGGAGCAAGTCCAGCCACCACCTCAGCCGACCACAATGGGGTGGGGGGAGTGTGTGGGGGTGGGAGGGGGGCCTGAGGGTGAAGCCCCCGCCCCCAGCTCCCGCTGCGCGCCGGCCCGCCGCGGGGTGCGCCCCCGGCCCCGCTCCTCACGCCCCGCCCCCCGCCCCGCGCCGCCCCCAGATCAAGCGCGAGCTGAGCGAGAACACGCCGCACCTGTCGGACGAGGCGCTGATGGGGCTGTCGGTGCGCGAGCTGAACCGGCACCTGCGCGGGCTCTCGGCCGAGGAGGTGACGCGGCTCAAGCAGCGGCGCCGCACGCTCAAGAACCGCGGCTACGCGGCCAGCTGCCGCGTGAAGCGCGTGTGCCAGAAGGAGGAGCTGCAGAAGCAGAAGTCGGAGCTGGAGCGCGAGGTGGACAAGCTGGCGCGCGAGAACGCGGCCATGCGCCTGGAGCTCGACGCGCTGCGCGGCAAGTGCGAGGCGCTGCAGGGCTTCGCGCGCTCGGTGGCCGCCGCCCGCGGGCCCGCCACGTTGGTGGCTCCCGCCAGCGTCATCACCATCGTCAAGTCCACCCCGGGGCCCGGGCACGGCCCCGGCCCCGCCCCGCCCCCGGGCCCGCCGCGAGTTCGTAGTCCTCGCCCCAAGGCCACGCCCCGGGCCCCGCCCCCTCCCAAGTGCCTAAATGAACCCTGACCCCAGCTGCCGCTCCCCTGCAGTCGCCACCCCCAGGGGTGAATGCGAGCCCCCTCCCTGAGCCTCTTCCTCCTGCAACCCCAGAAATTGGGAGCTCATGGCTCTGGGGCGCGGCAACTTTGGAGAGGCGGGTGGTGGAGTGAGGGGGGTCTCCCCTGGCTGAGGCGCAGTCTTAGGGGGGAGGCCCCGGGACTGCAGGTTTGAGAAGGGCCTTGGGGGGAAAGAGGGCCACCCTTTTTTGTAAACTTCGCTCTGACTGTGCCTATAGCCCCTCCCCCTTCCCGGGATGCCCGCCCGGGGGTTTCCCGTGTCGGGGGCTGCCAGCCTGGGAAGGGTGCTCCGGCCCTGCCCCTGCGTGGGCCTGGGCAGCGGCCTCCCAAAGCTGGGAGCGTCCTTAGAAACGGCCAGGGGAAGCCTCCAGCGGACCACGTGTGGATGGCCCAAGCCAGGGCTTCCCACTGCCGCCCTGGTTGCAGGGGGACCCTGGACAGAGACTGGAAAAAGTGGCGGAGGGACCTCCCTGGCCCGGAGAGACTCCCTGGCTCTCTCTGAGTCAGGAGAAAGTAGCAGAGGGAGAGAGAAGGTGATGCCGAGGGAGAGGGGAGGAGCAGGCCTGGCCCAGCCCTAGCCCCAGGAGGCTGGCCAGCCAGAGAGAAGGGGCTCAAGAAGGTGACCACAGTGGCAGGTGGCCGGATGAGAAGACAGGCCCTGCAGTCTGGGCTGGGGTCCTTAGAAGGGAAAGGTGCCACCACGGCCCCTGTGAGCACCCCAGTGGCACCGACTGCCATTCTGCACTCTCCCGGGAAGCCCAGCGCCCCCTGCACTGTATACAGCTGCCCCCCCAACCCCGCTGTTTATTTATTGCACAAATCTAAGTTATTCTCCCCAGCCAGGGCCCTCGTGCCCACTTCCTGCGCAAAGTGGGTGTGGCCCTGAGCTGGACTTTATATTTTATATCTACAAATAAATCACATTATCTTATATTTAGGGAAAGCCAGATGGAACAATAACCAAAAAAATGTTTTTAAAAATTACCTGGCCCCCAGAATTTATTTATTTTCTGACCTACAGTAAGCGAGTTATCCGCCTTCTGTATTTTACAGACTTTCTGAATAAAGTCAAATTCTCTTTTTCCACAAAGTGTATGTTCCGGGTATGTTGGAGGGGCTTCCACAGGAGGGGTTAAGGCGGGGCTCTTTCAACCCGGGTAGGACCTTGTGCTGGGGAGCAGGGAGGAGAGCCCCTATTTGCTGATGAAAAAACTGCAGCGTAACTAGCTCCGTAACTAGCTCCTGTGGGCCAGTGTGGAGGGAGGGGGTATGGGCAGAAACCCAGAGGGGTGGTGCTAAAACATCTGTCCTTCCATCTGTTTGCCTGGACCCAGGGGCCTCCCTGGGAAACCAAAGCAGGACCATGAAGCGTAGGGTTAAAGTCCCTGGGCGTGTAAACAGTCCGGCCCAGAAAGGAAAAAGTCTGGGTTGAAGAGGAATCTTTCCAGCACTTTCACATGGAGGTCTGGGTTTCTGCTGCCAAGTAGAAAATATTTTCCCCATGTTCCGGAAGGCGCAGGGAGGAGAGCGCGGCTTCCTAGATTCCGGCCTGCTGGCCCCAAATGCAGCCCCCTGTCTCACTCCATGTCACTTCAAGCCAGTCTGCCAGCCCTACCACCCACGGGAGACACCGGAGGAGGGGCATGCTCTGGGGTCTGCGGGGCAGGGGAATCCGGGTTTGAATTCGGATGTCTTTTTCTAGCTGTGTGACCTTGGTGACTTATTTAGCTTCTTGCAGCCTCGGTTTACCCTTTGGTACAATGAAGGGGCGCAGCTAAGGGCATAAGTAACGAGCACCGGAGGGAGGGCTGCAAACCCACACACACAGCGGAAGTTGAAGGGCACTGGGGCTGGGAGAGGAGGATTCTGAGGATTCTGCGGGGTGGGGATGGTGAGCCTGGCGGGCTGCGGGAAAGGGCTTTGCGAAGCTGCAGATTGGCAAGCGAGGGAAGGGCCAAACCACAAGGCCGGCTGGGTCCGCCGGGCTGGGCGGTTTCCCTGCCAGCCCCTCCATCCCGATCCTGAAATGCTGAGCTCAGGCCGGTGCAAAGGGCAGAGGAAGCTGCGGGAGAGCCCAGGGAGCGCCTGGGGAGAGCCTGGGGAGGGTGGCGGCTGCCTGGGAATTTCCCCCACCCACGCCGCATTCCTGAGTGCTTGGTCAGCGGCAGGCCAGGCCCCTGAAAGGCATGCAGGAGGTGGCAGGGGAAGGTGCCCTGCGTGCTAGGCACCTGCCCAGCCAGCCCCATTCCAGGCCTCCGTGCCCCTCGGGCAGCATTAGGGACCCAGGGTGGAGGGTGAGCTCGGGAAGGCTCAAGAGAGCCCAGGAGACGACCCCAGGAAGTCTCAGGAGACACCTGCAGGAATGGGGCTGCAGCGGCTGTGCCCCCTCCCCAGCCAGATGTGTGAGGAATGAGGCATCACCCCAGTGGCACCTCAGACCTGGGGGGCAGGGTAGGCCCTCTGTCACCAAGACTGCCCCCGGGTCTGCTGTGGGGGGGAGGGGAAGGGGAAGGGAGATGCTGTCCGAAGGGGGCCTGGACCCCAGCTTTAGTCTCCGCAATGTGAATCCTCCCCTACGGTTACGCATGTCCGGAGAAAGGTCTGGGACTCACTCGGTGGGGTGCGGCACGGGGAAGAGGGGGGAAAAAACCTCACCCACAGGCAGAGAAGATTTCAGTACAATCTATATTGTCTCATATATATATATATTTATTTTTCTTTCTCACTTATTTGCTCACTCTGTCACGCATTTAAAATGTCACAGAGACCAAAATAGAGCGGCTTTCTGGTGGGACGCGAGGCAGTCACACACGAGATACAAAACTAGGGGCTCTGGCTTCTCACACACCATACAACCCAGTTTTCAAGTACTTTTTATGTACAAAGAGCTACCCTGGGGGGGGAGATTAAAAAACAAAAAGACAAGGTAGGTTATGCATCCTAGGGAGGGGGTGACGGCTTGACATCCCAGCCCCCATCTGCCCAGGGGCCGCCAGCTCCCTGCCCTGAGCCCCCCCTCTCCCCCTCAACGGTGGGAACCCAGGCAAAGCCTAAGGGGGCAGGGAGCGGAGCAGACTTTGGCCTGGAAGAGAATCAGAAACAGCCTGGCGAAAGCACACCGGGAGGAGACAGAGGCCCTCCTCAGGCCGGGTCCATCCTGCAGCTGGTCTGGCTGGCCTCGGTGCCCCAGGCCCAACCTGACCACTGGGAGGCCAGAAAGGCTGCGGAGATGGACGCCCCCACCCTGACCCCCGCACGGCCCCCAGGGAGGGGTCTGTTCATCCAGGAATGTCCGAAAGGATGATTTCAGGTGAAGTTCCGATGCCTCACCCCCTCTTCCAGGCTGTTGCAGCCCAAACCCAAGTGGTTCTCTGGGTTTCCAGCGACAGGACACTCTGCCTGCCTATAAACACGTGGCTGGTTGCCCGGTGCCACCTAAGACAGGGCAACCAGTGCCAGGCCAGCCCGAGGGCTCCGGGCGTGCGGGTGTGGGGGCAGCGCGGGGGGCCGGTGGTCCTGGCCACCAGAGGCTGTCCGAGGGCGCTGGACCAGGCACTGCAAGCTCCTCTGAGTGCCAGCAGCTTAATAGGGAGTGAGGGCCCAGGGAAGGGAGCATTCACGTGACTAAGGCACAGAGGAGACGGGCCAGGGCTGGACAAGGCAGGACACCAGGCCCTGTGCGGCGAGGGGGCCCGGGAGAGAAGTCTGAGAACACCCCTCCCACTCCAGGCGGCCAGCGGCAGCCCCACCCCGCGGCCCTTCCCTCAGCACTGTGGGCTGGGAAAAGGGTGGGCAGCCCCTGACCCTGTGAGCAGCCAGGAAGCAAGGGCTAGGCCCAAAATGCTTGAAGAAGACAGACCCCGAGTCAGAGGGCAGTGTGGGCTGCTGGCTGTCGTCAGCAGACCAGGAGGAAGGGGCATGTGGCAGGTGGAAGATGCATCCCCAAAGACCCCTCCAGGGCGCAGAGACCCCCCCACCCTGCTGCTCAGAGAGGCACCTGAGCACCTTCTCCGGGGGGGACCGTGGCTCAGGGTGTCTGGCCCTGATCCCTGCAGCACGCCGGGCGGGCCTGCCCGGGTGGGGCAGGGGGGGGCAGTTTGGGAGGCGGAGCAGGCGGGAAGAGCCCAGGTCCAAGTATTGCACGGTGTTTGGGGTGGGGCTCGAGGAGTCTGGGGCAGAAGACCGCAGCCAGCCTGGATCACAACACTGGGCCTGGGCGCGGCTGGTCCCGACGAGCCGCAGGGGCGCGGACATGGCTCCCAGGGTCTCCCGCGCCAGTCTTGGCCACGTATAAATATCCCTGACGGTTCCTGGGTGAGCCGGGCTGTCCCCTGGGCAGACAGCGTCTGGCTGCTGCTCTGGAAGCGATATGTGTTTCTGGTCCAATAAATTAAAGGACGATGCCAAAGCTGGGCCAGCCTGAGTCCTGGCAAGGCTGTGGGGGGGCACACCCTGCCCTGGGCTGCGGCACCGAGACTTCCCCACCAGCCGCCGCACCTAGAACTCGTCGTCGGAGCTGAGCAGGAGAGTCTTCTCGTTGTCGCGGGCGCCGCCGAGGCTGTGGGAGCGCGAGAGGCCGTGGGCGCCGCCGCGCCGGGCGGGCCCGGGCTCCAGGGTGGACTGCTGGGTGTACTGCTGGTAGGCGGGCGAGAAGTTGTGGATGGCGTCCTGCACGATGTCGTGCGGGTTCATGGTCTCCTTGAGGCTGCTGGAGATGCTCTTCATGGGGGCGCAGTGGCCTGTGGGCAGGAGGACCCCGTCAGGGGGCTGGGAGGCGGGAGGCCAGGCAGCTCGGCCCCCGCCCCTCGTCCTGGGGCCCCCCAGCTGCGCCACCTCGCCACCCTCTCCTGGGCGGAGAATGGGTCAGGGATGTGAAGGGGCACAGGAGACAGCAGCCCTGAAGGGCGACTCGAGTGTCAGAGGAAGCAGAGTGAGCAGCCACGTCCTGCAGGTGGGGAGGGACCGACGGCCACGGCAACACCCAGGTTTCATGCCCACAGCCTCCCCTGGGGGTGCGCCCCCCACTCTGGGCAGTGCACCTGACTCCATCAGGCCAGGCCCGGCAGGAGAGGCCAGACCTGCCTGCCCGAGGTCCTTCCCCGGCGCCCTCTCTGCCCACGGGCTCAGGCCACAAAACTGAGAAGAAAGGGATGCGGTTCCCCCTACAGGGCCTCTGCCAAGGACACCACTAAGGACCCCAGAACCAAGCAGGGAGATTCAGGACGGCAGAGCAGGACAAAAGCAGGCAAACTCTACGAGGGTGCCCGTGACAGGCAGGGGTCTGTACTATCCCACCCAGGGGTGCCTGTGGGGGAAGATGGGGACACAGAGGAGCCAGGGAGAGGCGCATGCTGGTGACAGTGACCAGGACTGACGTGCAGGACAGACGTGCAGACCGACAGCGGAACCTACCGTAAGGGCCATATGTCGGCACTGCCCCGGCCAAACCCGGGACAAAAGCAGAGCAGGGGTGTGGGGTGGGGTTGGGGAGAAGCCAGAGAAATAAAGAAGACAAGACAGCTGAGTGAGCACCACCGCCCACTAGCTGGCGCCCCCAAGCACAAGGGCCCCACACCACCCCACTCCCACTCACCCCCTCCCTCTCAGGCTTGAGGAGAATGTCCACATGGGGTGACTCCTCCCGCAGAGCTCACACTCTCTTCTGGGGGATGGGGGACAAAGTGTGGGCACCCAAAATGGCTGCAGCTAAATCTGGAACCCCCACCTCTGTCTCTCCAGGTTTCGCTGGAACAGCTAGGCCGGATGCCTCACTAAAATTCTTCTCAGACAAGGAATCAGGGCTGGGCTGGCGGAGGGGTGGAGGTTACTTGTACAGATCACACCCAAAGCAGTTTCCCATCTAACCAGGACCAGAAGGCTGCGCACTGAGTTAGTGGGTGGGCACCTGGCCCAGGACCAGTAGGGAGTAGGGCAAGGGTGAACAGCAGCTTTGCCCCGCTTGGGATGGAGGCCCTGCCAGAGCAATATTTCTGGCTACACCATTTCTGCGGGGCTGACGTGTCTGAGGCAGTGGGGGCCTGACAGTCTCGGCAGGGCCATCACCTGCAGAAACACTGCTGGGCCCCAGCCCCAAGCTCCAGGCACAAGGGGACTTCTCTAAAGTCACAGCTCCACCAGGCCCAAGGGGTGCCGCCCTCACACAGGGAGGTATTCACTGGATCCTTCCTACTAGGGGCATGGTGGGAAGTGGGCAGGACACCTGCAGGCTGAGGTGAACCATGCCCAGCATAGTGCCTGGCACCAAATCTGCGCCCAGTCAGCGAGCGTGTTGGGAGAACACAGTGGGCACACAGGAGCCAGGGTCTGGAGGCCGGCTTGGTTCACATGCTTCCAGCAGCAGCAGCAAAGGCTTTCTAAGGGCCCTTCCCAAGCAGAGAAGCCTGTGGCAAGTGAGAGGAGGCTGAAGAGCCAGGCTAGCCCTGCATGGGTAGTGGGCTGAGGAAGTGGGTGTCCCACGTCCAGCCACTGGGAAGGACATTGGCAGCTGCCCAACCGCTGGGGAGAAGTGTTAGACTAGAGGGCACCCCCTCCCCACCCCTACACCTGAATCAGTGAGTCATTTCAGGCATCCCAGCCTCCTGGCCCTGGCCCCTTGAACACCCCCTCTGTCCGCAGCCGGCGGCAGCACTCCCCAGCCCACAGAGGTTAAATTACACCCTGCGGCCCAAGGCCAGACTGCAGAATCTCTGGGGGGCTAGCCGTGGTGCTTTTAGGGCTCTCTAGGGCCTTCTAATGTACAAACAAGCTGTTTGAACAGAGGAAGATTAGTAGGTGTAAAAAGAAAGCTGTTAAAACATGACGATCCCAGTCCATTTCAGAGACGCAGTCAGGTCAAGCGCCTGAGAGACACGGAAACTGAAGCAGGACCGTGCTGGAGGCCCAGAACCCTCGGGCACTTGTCCATTGTAGGGTCTCTGTCCTAACCTTCCCGTGGCAACTCTGTGCTGCATCATCTTGGGGTCTCCATGCAAAAGACAGGGGGGGGCTAGCTTCCAGGACCCCCGTCCCTGTGATGACGAGCCCTGTGGCCTTTACCACACCAAACTGGGGAGACCGTCAACACCCGTACGGCACTGGGCAGCCAGAGGGGTGCTGGTGGGGCTGGTGTTCTCCCGCGGGGCACGTCCCGAGGACGGAGCTCCTACCTTGGGCGTCCAGCCTCTTGTCGGCATAGACCTTGTAGGTGAAGGCGTGCCGCAGGGCCAGGGCGGCGAAGAACATCTCCACACAGATGATGAAGTCCTGGTAGCCGGCAGCCACCGTGCCCTCGCCCACTGACACGCGGGCTGAGTGGATCTTGGGGATGGCCCCACACTTCTCCAGGATGGCCAGCAGCATGCCTAGAAGGAGAGGCATGGGCGTCTGGCTCAGCCTGGACCCCCTTCCTCCACGCTGCTGCACACCCCGAGGTGACGGATGCAAGGTCCCGTCACTCCGGAAGGCAGGGATGTGGGCACAAAGCCGAGGCTCGGGCCTCCCTGGTGGTGCAGCAGGTTGGGCACAGCGCTGTGAAGCTAATCCACAGCCTCTGCAGTGCGGGTTTGATCCCGGCCGGCCAGGGAGCAACCCACATGGCGTGGCAGACCTCTCCTGCCTCACCCGCTGCTGCCCTCAGCAGTGTGTTTCAGTCAGTCTGCCTGTTCTGTTCCCCGCTCCGTCTCTGGTGAATCCTCTCACCCTCCCATACATCTGGCCTGTACCCCAGTTCTTGTATGCATGAATAAATAAATCTTTAAAAACAAACAAAAAACAAAGCCAAGGCTCCAGGAAGGCACCAGCACCCAGCTGGTGGCCACCCACGCTGAGACATCACCGACTACATGGGTTCCCTGGCTCCCCCAGCCATGAAGTGACCCCGCAGAGTTCTCCTGCAACTCACAGGAAAGGCCAGAGGGTCCACATGCCAGATGTGGGGGTGCCCCGGGGCTGGGGACCACGGGGGATGAGGCAAAGGGAAGAGGGTGGCACACGCTGGCCCCACCAGGCCTGGGAGGAGGCGCACCTTGCCAGAAGGAGAGGAAGATGACGGACTTGACCATGAAGAACTTGAGGACGGGGCTGTAGGCGCTGAGCAGCTCCCGGGTGGCAAAGTAGAAGAGGAAGAGTGCATAGAGAGCCAGGCTGACGGAGATGTTGTAGATGATGGTCACGTAGAGGTAGCCGCTGGTGACGCTGTGGGGAGTGGGGAGGTCTCTGGCTTGGGTGGACCCTTTGAGGGACAAGGGGCCCCCTCCCTCCTTTGTCCGGCCCGTACGCCTACCCCCAGGGCCTCAGCACTGCCCCGGGGACAAGTCTCCACGGCCACTGCAGAGGGGACGTGATCCAGGTAGTCAGGACACTTGGGGTGGACATGGGCTCTGCCCTCAGCATGGCCAGTCCACTGCCTCTGCCTCACGTGCAGACGTGGCCAAGCCACCAGGTGCACCTCTGGGGCCCACACCAGTCAGGGGGGCACAGTCTGGGAGGTCTTGACCTGATGTCAGGGAGGCACGAGCCTGGTGTTGCTCCTCATGTGAGCCACGTTATATCCCTTGAGCCTCTGCGCTTACCTGCCCCCTCAGAGCTGTCATATGGGGCAAAGGGGGGACTTGGCCACTTTCACTGACCCCCCCAAATGAGATGTATGTGCACCTTGCACAGGAGGGCTTTCTATTTCGGGACTTGGGGCTCAGACCCTTTCACTCTTTGTCTTCGGAGTGGTCACTACTGTTCCTGGCCCACCCCCCGGGCAGTGCCCTGCAGCCCGGTCACGAAGGTGAGGGAGGCTGAGGGTTTTCCCCTGGGGCAGAGGCAAGGCCAAGTATGAATTCAGCCATCACTTGGCTCAAGCCTTGCACCTCGGGGGTGCGGGGAATTGTGGGGAGCCAGGCCACGCCTGGCCTCCATGGGCCTCCACACGGAGGAAGGTCATGGGTGTAGGGCTGGTCTGCTGCCCCGCTTCTCTGAGCCAGGACTTCAGCCTCCCTCCAGGCAGGGCCACCTCCCCACCTCTCAGGGGAGCCATTGCTTACTCAAAGTCACCGTCCCGGTACTTGCCAAAGGCCTGGAGGACCACGGTGCTGACGGCCATGAGTGGCTTCACCACGCAGAACTGCAGGGTGGCCTGTGGGGGCAGGTCATGAGTCAGGGATGAGCATCTCCTCCAGCCAGCCGGGCCTGTGCTGGACCCGTGAGGAGTGGGAGTGAGGCCCAACATCCTGCCTGAAGGGGCCACTGTCTGGAGGGGAGGCAGTGGCAGTGCAACACTGCTGAGCATGAAGACAGAAGGATGTGAGGGACAGATGGACGACGGTGGGGTGGAGGAGCAGGGACAGGAGATACCGTCAGAGGCAGCCCCTGGAAGCCTGGGTCAGGCAGGAACGTGCCGTGAAAACAGGGCAAGGGGAGCAGCTCACACCAAGGCCCAAAGGCAGAGCTGGCACGTGCAATGGGCTGGGTGCTGTGGGGGCAGCAGCGGGGAGATAGCCAGGGAGATAGGACAGCCAGGCCCTGGTGGAGAGATTGGCCACTTGGGCGCAGGAGTGGCTGAGGGCCCCTCCAGCCTCATGGCCCAACTCCAGGTCCGGCTCCATGCTCCAAGCCTGAGTGCACAGTTAACATAAACCTGGGGGGCCTTCCAGGTGGCGCAGCGGTTGAGCGCTGGGTTGCGAAGCTGCCCGCAGCCTCTGCAGTGCCAGTTCGATCCCCGGCTGCTCCCGGCCACCGGAGGAGGGTCCCGCATGGCTTGCAGACCCCTCCTGCCGGCCGCTGCTCCCCTCAGCAGTGTACTTCGGTCCTTCTGCCTGCTCTGCTTCCCACTCTGGCTCTGGTGAATTCTCTCACCCTCCCGCTCTTCTGACTGTACCCAGTGTTTGTATGTATCAATCAATCAATCAATAAATCTTTAAAAAAAAAAAAAAAAAAAAAAACATAAACCTGGGGTCTTACTGGGGACGGAGATGGCCTACAGGGCCCCAAGGTCCTGACGCGGATTCTGGCCTCACCAACTACCCGCTGAGGAAGCAGGAGTGAGCACACCCTCAGCTCAGGGCAGCCACCTCCCAGGGGAATAGACTGACCCCCCCCACCCCTACCCCCACCCCCTTGCCACAGGGAGCAGAAGCATAAGACAGCAAGCATCTTCCCCAAGGTGCCCCCACACCTGTGCATTCCCCCCAAGGTGCCCCCACACCTGTGCATTCAAGAAAGGCCTCTAAAAGGATTCGGTAGCCAGGATTCCACAATCCCCTAGAGGCTCAGCAAACTCAAGGGGGTACTCATTGTCTGCAAAATCACCAGAATCACCATTCCTTGAGCTCAAATAAATCTAAGCCTTCAGGCTAAGGTAGTGGAGCTCCCAGTACATCAGGACCCTGAAGCAGGGACACCAGGCCCCTGAAGCCGAGGTTTCTGCTAGACTGGGAGCAGAGACACTTGTGGGAAGCCGGGCAGCCTGAGGTTGGACGAGAGGCAGGAGAAGCTGTGTGACGCTGGAGGTGTGACGCTGCGTCACAGAGCCCACAGAACTCCCAGCCCCGCTCCCCACCTAGCAGAAGTGAGACCAGTACCCTATGCAGAGAGGAGCCACAGTCTGCATCGAGGCAACACTATGAGCTGCCAACAGGCTGCCACCACCCAGGCTGGTGCTCGCAACAGGTCCCCGACCTGAGAACTGTCACCCCTATGTCACAGACCAGCTGAGGGGGCACAAGAGACAGGGACAGAGTGCCAGACCTGATGATTTCTCAGGCCCTTGCCTGTGCCTCTGGGACAAAGCGGCAGGGCCTCCCCTCACACAGGCAGCAGGGGAGAAGAGGCTTCTTTTGTTGTCTTTCTCTTTACAACCTCTCCCTGCCACTTCCAGGACCCACACAGAAACATCGAAGCCCACAGGGCCGGGGATCATTTATGACAAGGCCAGACAAGGCTGGGCTGGGATCTGAGGCTCTGCACTCAGCAGAGCAGAGCGGGATCATCAAAGGAGACTGTGAGTCACCCAGCCCTGGGCGGTGCAACCCACTGGTAAACAAACACTGAGACCCCACCCTGAGCCCAAGCGGCTTTAACTCTCTCTGTGCTAACTCTCTCTGTGCGGGTCCAGAGACTCTGGAATTTAGGAATACCCAGGAGGAGGATGATCAGAAGCAGAACTGAGACCAGCCCAGGGCCGCAGCCCTGCCCATAACGCAGCAGAGACCAGCCCTCCAGGGAGCGACAGGGTTCCTCTGTGGTTTCGCACCCCCTTCCCACCCGTGACTACTCCTGGCAATGCAGAGGGACAGACAGAGGCCCGGTGGGACCCCTGGAGAGACCAAGTCGAAGGCAAGCAGGCTGGGTGCAGCACCCAAACTCCCTTCCTGGACAGGACAGTGGCCCCCATGCCACCACTGGTGCCTGCTTCATGTCCATCACCTAACCTGTTTTTAAACAATGAAACCATGCCGTAGTTAAGTATCTTACGCCCATTTTATAGAAGAGGAAACTAAGGCTCAGAGAGGTTAAGTAACTTATCCAAGGTCACACAGAGGAGAAAGGAGATCAAGCTCAGATGGTCAGACACCCAGGCCATGCACTTAACTGCAACCCCACACCACCTCCATCCAGGGTGCCCAGGAGGGCAGCTGAGAAACCAGAAGATGCTGGACTGCCAACCGGGAAATGGGGGAGACCAGACACTGCACAGGCCCATTCTGTTGTGTCTTCAATGCAGAAGCCCTCCTGGGCTCCAGCCACAGCTGATAAGAAATTTTCAAACTGAGATTCTAGAATCCTCACATACTCCCACTCATGCGCACTAAGACTTGGTAAAGCTGAGCAGGAGTCTGGGACCTGCTCCTGCATCAGACACTCCAAGGGCTTCTGCTGCTGGCCCTCGGAGCACACCCTGCTGGTCCAGGTGCGTCCCTACAACTTGGGGAGTGGCCACTGGGGCTTGGGGTGACTGGTAGGAAATGGGAACTCAACAGGGGGGGCTCAGGGCAGCCGCAGCAAGTCCTCTCGCTGCACCAGGGGCAGTGCGGGTGGCAGGCACCCGGCCCTTGGCCCACACCTCGACTCGGCAGCTGCCAGGGGCACACACCTGTTTGCAGAACCGCAGGAATCCAATGGAGTAAGTCTTCCCCCAGAGGCAGCACGTGCCGTACACACAGCTGGACCTGGAAGAGACAAGAGGAGAACCAGGACTCAGGAGAGGTGCACTGGGGGAGGCTCCCCTCCCTCGCATCCAGACACACCAGGGACACAGCGGATGAAGCAAGAAGGTTGGGGAAGGGACAGCACGGGGGAGACACTGGAGAGCGCTGGCACAAGCAACAGGGTCTCACTGGCCCAGGGAGAACAAACCAACTTGAAAAACACTGAAAGCAAAGAGAAACAAACAGGAAGAGCAAGAGGGAGAGAGAGCCAGAAGGCGCTCCCCAGAGTCCAAATGAAAGGTCTCACTCAGGAAGTGTGGGAGCAGCACAGCAGGTCAAGGTCATGGGCAGAGATGGTCTGTGTGTCCAGCTGACACCAGGACGGCTTGAGGACAGGGGGTGGTGTGAGGGGCTCCGGGGAGACTTTCGTACTCACTCAATGGGCTTCCCTCTGATCTCTGACATGATGGAACTCTCTCCCCCGAGGTATTCATAGCAGAGGCTCAGGAAATTATAGATGACCAAGGCTATGAAGAGAGTCCAAAGAAAACCACTCAGATCAACAGGAAGGTGGATTTTAAAACAGCAACAAAAGGGAAAGAGCCACAACACACAGCAACAGGAGGCGCCTGGGGCGTAGAGATGTGAACATGCCCTGGGGGTCCCACCATGGAGAAGAGCAGAGGGTGGTTGCCAGGGAGATCAGGACTGGCACACTGGGGCCTGGGTGGGTGGGCTGTGTGCACGTTCTGGGTACAAGACAATGTACCCAAATAATTATGATGGTGTCGTTTCATAATTATTAATTTGATGTGCTTTTCTGTCTGTTTAGATCACAATTTTACAACAAAACAACAATAAGACCTCTTCCAGGGGACCTCAGAAGAAACCAGCATGCACAGAACCGGCAAAGGCCAGGGAAGCAGGTGAGTGCTCTGACCAGGACACAGCTCTGCACCAGCACAAAACGCACATTGAGCCACAGCAGCCGGAGCAGACGGATGGCGCAGACACAGCCTGGAGAAGGACGTCTGCAGGCTGCAGGCTGCGCCAGAAATGCAGCCCTAGCTGTACCCAGCCTGCTGCCTGAGGACCCTGTTGGGTCAAAGCCAGGGGTGCCCGGGAGGGAGGGAGAGGAGAGAGAGTGTGAGAACAGCTCAGCAGAGGGTACCGTGGATGAAAGGCTGGGGCGGGAGACCGGGACCAAGAACAGGGACCAGCAGAGGTATTCAGAGAAGGAGCAAGAGCCAGGAGAGGGTCAAGACAGGGGCAGGGCAGGAAGGTCAAAAGAGACACCAGCGGCCCTGCAGCCAGAGGCTCCCTGTCATCTGACCCTGCCACCCACCCCCCGCACCCGCCACACACACACAACCTCGCCTCAAAGACCTTGGAGATCTTGGAGGCTCCGGAGCCACCTGGGAGCAACCCCTGACTTGGCAGTGACCTGGTACCTGCTACCCCCAGCTCTTCCTTCCCAGCAACACCAGATGTCCCCCACCCCACCCCGTGCCCAGCCCACACTCAGCCCTGGGCTGGCAAGCTGCCCCCTCCTCAAGGTGCATGAGGTTTCCAGAGACACTGTGAGGGCCCAGCCAGAAGCCACCCTCCCAACCTGGGCTGTCCTCAGTGCACTCCTGAGCAGAGCCGGCCTGAGCTCACCCCCCTGTGCTGACACACGCCGGAGGCCTCCCGGGCCATGGCGTCGGGCCGTCTATCCATAGCCAGCCCTGCCTTCTACTGCTCAGCACATCAAATTTCCTAAGTCCGCTCTCCGTTCAAGATTCTTGACCTTTTAACGCTCTGGGGCCAGCTAGTCTGTAAAATACTGACTTGCTGACAGTTTCCTTTAAAGAACCATTAGTGAGTCAATAAGGCGTTCTCAGACAAGGAAGACGGGACAGGACCTCCTCAGGATGACTCAAGCAGCCCGCACCAAGACTCACTGACCATCTGGACAAATCAATCCCCTCCAAGGAAATGACAGAGCCATGAAAACACCACCCCCACATCCCGCTGTGGACAGCGGACGACTCAACACTCACCACAGGTAACACATGCTGGCCCTGGGCGCAGAGCACCAAAAAGGCTGGAGTGGAGATCGGGAATGGGGCTTGCAATCAGCAAGCTTGTCGCCTGACCATCCCTCTGAACAAAGTTCTGCTTCCCCTGGAGAGACGCCAGGACACCAAATGCTGGCACAGCCGTCCCATGTGCCAGGCTCTATGATTGGCAGAGGGACCACAAATGACCAAGGAAACCACAGACCAGGCCCTCCCATCTAGAGGATGGCATCCAGGGAGAGGAAGGATGGTCTCTCAGTGACCTGAACTTTCTAGTTCCATTCTAGATACAAACCTTAACTGAACAAGCAACAAGAGCGCACAGCCAGAAAAGGAGGACCAGGGTGCAAATGAAATGTTCGTCGGGCCAGTTCCTTGAGGCCTAGAGAGAAGACATTAGGGGGCACTCCATCCTAAGCACGGGCCAGTGTCCAGAGGGTCAGACAGGACCCATCTGATCCCAGGGAGGGGCCCAGGGCTTCAGCGGTTCTCTCCTCCTCCCTCGTGGGTTTTCGAGCCTTTGCTGACCCTGCCTACTGGAATGCTGGTTCTTTCTGACTCCTCACTGCTGGCGGTGGATTCAGAATGTCTGCCTTCATTCTGATCAGCTCAGCCCTAGTAATTCCTGGCTCTGTCAGAGCCACAGCTCCAGGGCCACACCCAGTCAGCACGTCCCCTGGTGGCACAAAGCCCCTGGCCTTGTGAGGCCAGTGTCTGAGGCCCTTGGCCAGGTTCATCCTGGCGGTGCTCTCTGTTAGGATGATGCTTCCCTCTGGGCCAGACTCCAGGAAGCTAAGTTTGTCCAAAACCTGAAACAGGGTGAGTGAGTTCTCCTATAATTGTTTCTGTGCTGCATGGGAAACCTCACCGCTAGCAAGAGAGCCTGCTGTTGCAGAGAGTGTCCCATGCTGCTTCCCCACGCCCAGTACAGCTCAGTGCTGCCCAGGGCCCACCTACACGGCAGGACCCGGAGGCCCAGGGTGAGCCTGGCCGCCGGCAGTTACTCTCTGGATAGCCTTGTGCCGCTTTCTTAGCCTACTCAGATATTCTTTTTTCACATTTGTGAAAATAGGGGTGGCAACGTACTCCACCAGGTAACTGGGAAATGAGAAGACGTGAACAGTAATGAGATGTGGATGTGGGGAAACTGTAGCGCCACAGACACCGGGAGGGAGGCTGAGGGAGCAGGGAGCCCCCCAACTCCTCGGAACTCAGCCCCCGCCTCTCTGTTCACAGAGCTCAGCACCATCTTTAGAAGCCAGCCCCGGACAGCACAACTGGCCACTTCTCTGCAGCTCAGCCCTTCTCTCAGGAAAGGACAACACCATGGCCGTCATGGAACTGACCTCCGTCCGCTGCCCTCCCCCGGAGTCCGCAATGCCGCCAGAAGGAGAATGAATGGGCGGGGAGGTGAGAACCAGGGACCAGGGAAAGCACTGGAGACAGACGACACAGAGGTCCCCCTGGCTGGGTGGTGACTGCTCCCGGGCCAGGAGGGAGCCCTGAGAACCCTGGAATGGGACGGGGCATTCTGGTGGCTGCGAGTGAAACCAGCTCCGTGTGGAGCATCGAGGGTTAGTTCCTCAGGGAACTTCGCCTGCCGAGGGCGGCAATGTGAGGCTTTCAGAGCAGACCACAGAAAATTAGAGGTGAAGTCTGAACATGAAGGACAAGACATCCCCACCCCGACTCGGCACCTGTGACTTGGCCTGCCCACCTTTCACCTCCCAGGTAGGAGCCAACATTGCTTATCTGGGGAATCAGGCACAGAATCAGAGGATTTCGTGGATGTTTGCCCCCACCACCACAGGAAACACCCTGCACCCAACCATCCAGCGGGGACCCCTGCAGTTGAGAACCCCATTCTTCAATATAAAAAAATAGCCAGGGACACTGGACACTGAGGTCAAAGACCAAAGACCAAAGACCACTTTGGTCAAAGACCAAAGCAAACAAACAGACGAGAGCAACTCAGAGATAGAGATAATGCTGACAACAGAAGAAAACTGTAATTAGCCTCCCCAGAGACAGAAGAGATTCTCTCCAATACCAAGTATAAGGGACTCTAGAACAAGCAACTCCTGACATTCTACGACATGATAAAAGAATAAAACCTTCCATAGAAAAGCCTTAAAAGGCAAAGATTTTTTTAAAAGAAAGAAAAAGTCTCCTAGGAAGCAGAAAGAAAAAAAAAGAGCCAGGAAACTGTAAAGAACATTCAAGGTTCCATCCAAAAGATCCTCCCAACAGAGTTCCAGAGGGGACGATAATGCAGAAAGGGCAAGATTGTCAAAGGAACATACAAGAAAATTTTCCCGGGACGTCGGAGCTGTCATCCTGACAGGGCCTGGCACAATGGCTATCCTACCTCCCGTGAGACTTCAGGACAAAGGTGAGGTCCAGAAACGTAGGTCACACACAGACATCAGGATCAAGTCCAGCCAACTTTCCAGAAACAACCTGGAGGCTAAAGCCCAGTAAAGAGCACAAAGCATAGCAAGAGCAGGGCCTGCAGCTTGGTACTCCATCCCCTTGAACACCACCTACTGGAGCCACCTCGTGTTTTCAGACACGGCTCCACTTTCAACATCTACAACGCCGGGCATCGTTTTCCCGGGATGTTCCCGGAAGATGTGCTCTAACCAAAATGAGCCGGCGAACCATGAACAAGGGGGGTGGGGGGCACTCGGGGTGCTCGGAGGTGAGGGAGGGGCCAGGACAACCCCAGCAGCAGGAGGCCTGAAAGCAGAGCCTCTGGGCCAAGAGGGGCAGGACGAAAGGGGGAAGCAGGGAGGGGCGCAGAGCTGAAGGCGAGCGGTGTGCCCACACCACTGTACCACCGCGGCGTGGGGATGAATTACCAACCAACACACAGAAAACAGAGCAAAGCACGAGGCGAGACATGCTGCGGCCAGAGGAAAACCGAGCTGGGAGCAAATGCAGTCTTGGGACACAGCAAGGCTCAGATCTGACCCATCTTCAGAGACACGCAGCAGCGCAAATACTGAATGGGACGCGGAAGAGGTGACACAGCTGCGGTGAGAAGATGACAAAGGAAACGTGTGTGGGAGGAGAAGACACCTGAACCCGAGCTTTTTATGGTAGGAAGTCCCTACGTCACACGACACGAAACTGAAAATTCAAGAGACAACACTGTACGTCTCTTCTTAGGTAACTCTAGAAGAAAACAGCTTCAAGAGCTGCAAGCGCAGTGAACTTGGGAGTGACGAGGAGTGGGGCAGTTTGTGCGCCTCAGCCATCTGCACAGACTACTTTAGTAAAAAGTAAAACTGAATTTCACTGAAAAGAAAAGCGAGTTTCTGTGCAGCTCCCAGCAGAGCGCCCCTCAGCGCTGCCTCCAGAGCCAGTGGCTCTGAAACCAGGCTCCTCCGGCCCAGCCCAAAGTGTTCCCCTCCTGCCCCTTCCAGGCAACAGCTGCTAGCACTTTCCATGAAAGCACTTAAGGGGAGGCTCGGAGAGGGTGAGGAGGGTTGTCACTAGGAGCAGGTTATCCCAGGGGGCTGCTGGTCAGTAAACTCAGTGAGGCCAGGAGCCGTGCACTGCAGGGCGGGGGCTCCTTGCAGAGGCCTGTCCCAGGCACGAAGGAAGGCTGGGGGGACAGGCAGGGCCTGGACAGAGGCCTCTGGAGTTGAGGGGAGCCACCAACCACCTGCTGCCTCCAGGGCGCTGAGTGAGGATGGTATGGAGGCTCCCTGGCAGTATTCCTCTTCTGTCCTCAGGCCCAGCAGAGGAGGGAGCCACACCCTGCCTCAGCACGGATTAGCTTTTTATTTCTCAGGCTGCCCTGGAGTACCCACGCTGGGCTGGCAGCTGAATGGAAAAGGAATCTCCTACAACCCTTCCCCAACCCCAGGCTTTGGGGCTCCTAAGGTACCAAGGGTTTCTCTGGGGATTCTGCTGTTCCCAGGAACATCAGGCAGTGGAGCCCGGGTCAGGCTGCCAGCAGGCCCCACCTGGCCAGCCTCAGGACTCTCACCTGGCAGAGTGGGCAGGAATGCAATGAGGAATGCATTTCCCCACATGGGCAAATGCAAAGCACACAGCAGGTGTTTATTAATAAAGTCCCTATTCAGGGCCTTCCTGGTGGCTCAGTGGTTGAGCGCTGGGCTGCGAAGCTGCCTGCTGCCTTGCAGCGCCAGTTCGATCCCCAGCCACCGGGCGAGGGTCCCACATGGTGTGCAGATCTCTCCTGCCACACCCGCTGCTCCCCTCAGCAGTGTATTTCGTCAGTCTGTCTGTTCTGCTCTCCGCTCTGGCGAATTCTCTCACCCTCCCGCGCTTCTGACTGTACCCAGTGCTTGTATAAATAAAATAAATAAATCTTTAAAAAAAAAATAAATAAATAAAGTCCCTATTCATTCAAAAATCCTGGCACAAGTGGCCCTAGGCTACCTGGCGAGACTGCCTGGTGGCACTGGCACAGCAAGCTCCAGCAGAGCTACCAGCCCACTCAGGAAGGCGGGAGCCAACCTGCTGCGAACCCAATGAGGCCCCGCACACAGGGTGCTGGCGGTGAGGGTGATGGGACAGCCTCTTAGAGGAACCCCTAGAGTCAAGACGAAGGATGAGGAACCGGCAAGGGGAAGAGCTTTCCAGGCACTGAAAAAAAAACACCTGATGTGCCCAGGTGGGCAAAGGGCCAGTGTGGCTGAGGAGAGGCGAGGGCAGGCCTGTGGCTGGGGCAGTGGGGCGCAGAGTGCTGGCATTTCTTCACCAAGTCCAAAGGCCTCTCTGTGCCCTGGGAGTCCTTGGGGACACGGGAGTCCAAAGTGGGACAGGAAGAAGGACTCCTGCTACTTGGGGGATGAGCGGACTGCAGCCCAAAATCCACGGAGCCAGGACTGGGGGAAGCCCTCCTGGGTCAGGGAAGCAGGCCACTGGGGTGTCAGCATAAGGAAAACCACCCCTCACCGGACCCTGCCAGAGGGCAGGCGGGAAGGATGGCTTTCCTCTTTGCCACCCAGCCCTGCAGCACAGGCCCGACCCAGAGTGGGTGAAGCCCGCAGAGCACAGAAGAGCAGCCCCCAGAGAGAAGGAAGTCCCCCCAGCGAGGGCGGAGTGGACGCCACCTTCCACACAGCCCTCCAAGACAAGAGGGGAGAGAACCAGCCCTGCCTCCGGGGCTTGGAGCCCTTGATCAACCCTTCACCCGACTGCGCCGGGGCACCTACCGACGCAGAGCGCTGATCTAGCTGCTGCCCCCCACCCCACCACAGACACCAACACCAAGAAGCGTGATGCAGGTGGTGGGCCCGCTTCTGGACATCTGTGAAGGCGTTTGGGGAGCCATGCTGCAAGTGCACCTGCAAGGGGACAATGGCCCTGCACATGCTGCCGCCTGCCAACTGGAGCCTGAGGAGGGTAGGAGATGCGGGCCTTGGGGAGGACCTCAGAGGGGCTTCTCGGCCCCATATGTCAAGCAGGGTAGGCGTGCAGCCTGCCTGCCCCCTTGCACTCCACCCCCCCTCCCCACGACTCCTGCCCTGTGCCCCAGCCCCTGCTCCCCACGCCCCGCGGCTTCCTACCCTCATAGCAGTCGCGCACGGTGCCGAAGTACACATAGTACTGGTCGTTGGTGAAGAAGAGCAGGCTGAGCCAGGAGTCGAAGGCGTAGATGGGCACGATGAACAGGATGCGGACGATGTAGCGCTGCTCGTTGGGGCAGCTGTAGCAGCGCAGGTGCATATAGATCTGGGGCAGAGGGGTGTGGGCAGTCAGGACCCTGGGGCCAGGAGAAGCCCGGCAGAGAGGTCAGGTACCAGCTCTGCCACTCACTGGCTCTCCGACCTGACCAGTGACTGGGCTCTGAGCCTCTGGAAAATGGGACGACAAACCGTCCCTCATCAGGCCACCGGGAGCATCAAGCCAAGGTGAACAGAGAGCTCCCAGACGTGGGCAGCTGGCGCCACGGCCAGGCTCACCCGACCACACCCAAGACTAAGATCGGGCGGGGCATCCACGGTTTTAACAAGCTCCCCGAGGACCCGTATACAGTCAGCTTTGAAAACTGTGGGTTTGTGGGGTCCAGAGGACCTTCAACCCATGTGTGTCCCATCCCCGCCTCCCTCTTTGCCTGGTCCTGGGGGACTGAGCAAAAACACGGTATCCAGGCGGGTGCCCCCACTCCAACTCTAGCCCTTAACTGACTTAAAGAGTGGAAGGAAGGACAAACAGAATCCCCACTTCTACTGGCATGAGGCCGCAGTGATGTCCTCATTGCCTGCCTCGTTCGCCCATCTGCCGTACCGAGGCAGCGCTGCCTGCTCGGTGGGAAGTTGGGAGAATGAAGTACAGTTTTTAGAAAGCCAGGGGACAGCGACAGTGACACAAAATGCCAGGAATTACTCGAGCCACGCGCCTGTCCTGGCTTCCTGGACAGCGCCTGTGCCCAGAGAGCAGGCTCAGAAGGGAGAGAACAAAAGCTTCCCCATCTGCGATGAGTCAGCTGCCTTGGAGACAATCAAGTCCTGGAAGGGACAGGACCCAGGACAGCAGGCAGGAGTGACGGGAATCCAAAAGGGCTTGCCCTCCCCCACCTCACCAGGCCACCTGCCATCTCTTCTTCCCCAGAGCGTCGGCCTCCCCGGGAGTTGCGAGGACAAGAGACTCAACTTCTACCCCAGCTGTACTGCCAGCCTGCATAGGCCTGGCCAGCTCCCCCTCGCTCTCCAGCCTTTGCTTCCTCATCTACAAAGAGGTCACTGACACCGCCCCCCTGCCCCCCGTCCGCGCTCCCCTGCAGCTTAGGCTGGCTAAGTGACCAGCCCTGCCCCAGAGAAGGTGTGCAGAGGTGAGGACTGTCACCTCTCGATGGAGATGGTCACGTACCCAGAGCACCTTTGCCCTGTGCCCTCCTCCAGGCTGCCGGGCGGGGGGTGTCCCAACCCGTCAGGCTGGGCTGTAAGAACTCAACTCTCACTGGGGAAGCCCCTGAGATTAGGGGTTGGTTTGTTACTGCCACACAGCCTGTTCTGCCCTAGCCTAACTGGTAGATGGTTGGACTAAACCTCTCAGCTCCTGCTAGAAGGCCGCCGGGGCTCTCTGGCTCCGGGGAGACTGGCCTGGGTACCTGGTGGCAGGTGATAAGCAGGGCTGTCCAAACAAAGAAGCCAGAGATGGCCTGCGCGGCGGTGGTCATCAGGAACACAGGCTGCTCCATGGCCGTGGGGCTGCCCTCGGGGATCTCGGAGACGCTGGGGGAGGCTGCCGCGATGGTGGGTAACGCCGGACCTGGGGCCAGCGCGGCCCCCCTCACTGTCATGGTGGCCAGCAGCCGGGGACTCCCTGAGAGAATCCCTTGGAGGAAGCGAAGATCTGGTCTAGAGAAAGGAAATCACAACATTAGCCTCCTTCCGGCACAAAGAGTGGCGCCAGATTCTTCCAGGTGTCTATGACCACTTCAAAACAAGCTCAGGTGGAGCCCACCCCAGGCGGCCCTGGCCAGCACTCTGGTCCCAGCCACCATCACGTCTCCCCTGGGTGAACAGCTCGGGCTCCTGACCAATGTCTGCTTCCCCCCCGGCCCCGCCATCCAGTCCCCCCACAGCTGTCATGTGAGCTCCCACCATGTTGGTGAGACCCAGCGCTCCCCCGCTCGGAACTCAAGAGCCGCCCTCTCTCCACCTCAGCTGCCGTCCTGCAGCTGCCCATGGACGGCAGTGAGCCCTCCAAGGCTCGCTGGTGCTTCCCACCTCAATCCTCCGATCCTGTCACACTGGCCTCCTTGACCGAGCCAAGCCGCAGCGCTCCCACGGCACGGCCTTTGCACCGGCCATCCATCGGCACTGCCCCACCACACAGCTCACGCTGGCACAGCCTTTCAGTCTCTGCCCGGACACCTGCACAGACGTGGCCACACCTCCTCCTCCACCCGGGTCACTCTGACCCCCTAGGCTGTGTTTTCTCTCATTACCACCTGCCCACATCTGACAAACCGTCTGTTTACTCCCATGTCTGTCAGCTACCTCCCTCCCTCCAGCAGAACATGTTCCCTGCGGGAGGGCTCCGCTCTGCTCCAACTGACCTGGCTGCTCCTGGAATGGTGCCGGCCCACGGAGCAGCGTTCAGGAACTTCCTGCTGAACCCTAACCTCGTCACAAGCCTAATCCATGGCTGACGCCATCTAAGGGTGGACACCTCTTCCCGGACACTTCTCCCTGGTCTCCCTAAGAGCTGAACCCCCACTGTGCTGTCTGGAGACTCTGGGGCCCTCCCCGCTCTTCCTGAAGCCTGCCCCAGGCACTGTCCCCAGCCAGTCCCGCTGCCCATGTTACCACCTTCACTGCCTCTTGGAGCCAGGGTCCTGCCACGTGTGCCTTTGCTCTTCCGCCAATGACCAGACTCTCCCCTGCCCCAGGCAAGACCACCTTTTTGACTTTGAATTCCCAGCACCACACTCAACACCCAGGTCATTTACACGTCTACCTTCTACTAGTTTTCACTCCTTATTTTAAAGGGAAGCTGAGACACTTCACGGAGCAGCAAAGGATGGAGCTGAAGAAACTGGCCAAAGGAAGATTCCAGGCGGACAGGAAAGGTGGAGGCGGTAGGCACACAAAGGCATGCTGGCTCCCAGGTGCTGGGGGTACTGTGGCAAAAAACTAAAGACTTCACATTGGAAAGCACCCTGAGGCAGAGCTGGTGCCCAGCCTCTCCGGCTGGCAAGTTTGTAAACATGGAGCCACATGCCAGGCTGGCGGCTACAACCACTTTCAAAGAACAAAGCAGCTCTCCCGCGCCCACCAGAGGCATCAAAGCCCACAGCACTGGACATCCTTCCAGGGTTGCCACCTGTCGACAGGTTGGTCAGCGCCATCCTGGGGTCACCCAGTCTCCCTGCAGCAGAGGCCCCAAAGACTAACCTGCAACGTGACCCCAGGCCTGAGAGTCTGGTGAGGAAACAGATGCAAAGAAAGCGCGAGAGCTGTGGGAAGAGCCGCGGCAGGCGGAGTGGAGTCCCAGCTCCCCCTCCAGCCAGCCAGGTCTCTGTCATCCGGCCCAGAAAATGGCCAAACCCCAAGTCCGACCATCTCAGCCTGTACCCCAAGGTCTGTCCAGATGTCCTCTCACACCCACTTCCCAGTCTCACCTGACACCCAGCCAGCACCCACCGACACCAGCAGCAGGTCCCGCAGCACCAGGCCTGCAGGGGTACACCCGCCCCACGGCCTAACCTGGATGAAGTGCGGCTGTGCCCCTGGCCCCCCCAGTGTGTCCAGCAACCCCTGTCTCCATCTGCACCACTCTTCTCTTAGCCATGAGTTTTCACTCGCGGGGACCCCTTACATGTCTCCTTTCCTGTAAAAATAAACCGTCTCTAACACACCAAACAAGAAACAAGTCCAGACTGAACTCAGAAGTGGAGACGGCGTCTATATCCAGCCTGGTGCGAGCTCTGAAAAGGAACGTGGTGACAAGTCTAAGAATAGCTCCTATAAGCACCCCGCAAAGCTGCCAACAAGCACCAGAAATATTTCTTTAAAACGATTTGGATTGTAAATCATCATCTTCGTCTATCATCCCAAATTAAATGAATAAACACGGGAGCTGGGGGCTAGAGGAGACACAAATACTCCTGACCAGCACCTCCTGGGCAAAGGCGGGGGTCACGGCTCTGTGGCTCCCCACGGAGGGCAGTATGCAGAGGCCCCAGTGCAGACCCTGCCCTGCCCCTGCACACGAGAGGGGACAACCCAGGTCCAGCTCCTTGCTGGAGCTTGCTCACTCACACTCTAGGGTCCGGCCGCCAGCCAGCAAGCCCTGGGGACACCAGACACTCAGAGTTCTCCCACATGCCTTCCCGGTCACTCAGCCCACAAGGAGAAGTCCACTCAGAGAGAGTGGGTGACTCGCCCCCAAATCAGAGCGGGGACTCAAACTCCGGGCCCATGAACACAGTCTCCACCACCTACCAGTCTAGGGGTCTGGGGAAGGTGCTGCTGCTCCCCTCTGGCTCCTCCCAGCGCCAAGGAAGGGGAGGGGAAGCCGTGACCTCCAGGGACTGCTGGGGACTTGGTGGCCTGACCTGGCCTGGCCATGTTTCCACGGCAGGCCTCGTGACTCCCAGAAAGGCGTCACAGTTGACAAACCATCCTCATCTCTATTTTTTTTCCCACAGCAATGCTGAAGTAGCGTTATCACATCTTAGAGATGCAGAAAATGATATGGAACTTGGCTTCACAGCCCCAGGTAGTACCAAATGATTTGAGGGTTTTCATTATTTCCCAGAAAATACAGGGAGCCACGCTGACTCAGGCGCCCAAGGAAAGGCAGGATGTGTGGCTCCCGAGAGCTACTGGGGCCCAGAGCGCACCTGCTCCCAGGTCAAGGCAGCACACAGGTCAGCTCCCGCAAACTGTTCACTGTGTGTGTGTTGGGACAGGTGGGTGGAAACTGGGGCTGGACCCTTTCACGCTTAGGCTGGCACCCGCTGGGGAGGGCCCCTTGCCTGCCCAGACCCCACAGCACAACCCAGACTCTGGAGAGGCTGGTGATGCTGGAGAGGACTGTCCCTTGGCTCCCCAGAGAAAGAGCTGGGGAAGAGTCTAGGTAGGGTCTCCCCCTTTATCAGTGTCACCCAGGTGCCCCAAGCAGGATGGTGCCCCAATGCACAGGATGAAGCTTAGAACCCCAGAGGTTCTAGCAGGTCCCCATTACTTTCTTAACTGTGGATATTAAACTCCAGGGAGGAGTGTGCCAGAGGGCCCTGAGGGGGTGCTGTCTGCGTTCCCGACAGACATGCCTGGAGCCCCTGGCCTGGCTGGGCACCAGGACATCAGCCTTGGTCTCCAGGAGCTCAGGGCCCTTCTCTGTGCCTGCCCACCGAAAGGGCTAAGCTGGAGGCCCATCCCGCTGCACTGCACGCAGCGAGAACCCACACCAAGCAAGCCCCGATGCCTTGGCCAAGCCTGGGGAGAGGGTCGGGGAAGGCTTCCGGGTAGCCAGGACTTCGGGGCCAAGGCGAGAAGAACATAACCAGGCCTCAGCTATGGCAGCACCGCACAGGAGCCCTGGCCCACTCCACCACCTGCTGGTTGGGGCATGGGACTTCACCTCCCAGAGCCTCCATGTCTTCCTTCCCAACATTTTAGGGTAACTCCTTAATTGGCAAGGGCAGGTTCTACTTCGCCAAAGTCCCTTTAATAAATGGAGACAGAGTAATACATTAAAAATGACTAGTTTGCCATTCCTAATACAAACAAGCTCTGGATACGGCCATCAAGTGATAAAACCACCAGGTGAACAGCTGACAGGGAACCTTGCTGAGGGTCCTCTGGCAGCACCCCCTGGATCCAAAGTCAAGGTCAACATCCATGACGTGGGGCAACCAGAGTCTGGAGTCTCCTGGCGGGACCCACGGGAAGCATACCGAAGAAGAGCCCTGACCAAAAAGGAGCTGGAATCAAAACACGCCTGTAACTGAGCTCCAGTATGCAGGAAAGGCAGAAGGGGTGGAACAGGCTAAATTCCACCAGGACACAGCAGCCCAGTCTAGGCCGGGGGGAGGGGAGTGTCGACGTGGCTGCAGCTAGTGAAGGCCTCGAAGCAAAGTGTTTGAGGGGCTGTTACCAAGCAAGAGGCTCAAGAGACAGGCCCCCGGGTGCTGATGCTAATGGCCAGCGAGGAACAGGCCTCTGAACGAGACAGGCACAGGGGGTCTTGCTCCTTTCCTTAGGTGTGATGACTTCATGGTAGCAGATACAAGTCAGTCTTTTCCAGTAGGAGAATGATCTTTGCTATAGATGAGCTGGGACAGTGGGACATCCTGGGGGGAAGGGAGGATGAACTTTAGCCCAAACCTTTATGCTATAAACAAAATTTAATCAAAACAGACTGAGGATTTAAATGTGAAATGTTAAGACTACAAAGCTTTTAGAAGATGCAGGAGAAAAATCCCTGAAACCTAGAGCTAGCTAGGCAAAGCGTTCTTAGATATGAAACCAAAAGCATGACCCGTGAAAGCAAAAATTAACAAACTAGACTTCACGAAGAACTTTTGCACTGACTGTGAAGAGGCTGAAGAGAAGCCATACAGTAGAAGAAAACATTTGCAAGCCACAGATCTGACAGATGTCTAGCGTCTAACGTATTGCAAGAAAACCCAGAGCTCAACTGCTTTTTAAAGAATCCACTTAGAAAGATACAAACGCCATGGCTCCTTTACTCAAGAAAGTTCTATGAAGGAAAAAAAGATACATGGCAGGAAAGAAACACAATGTTTCACATCATTAGCAAGTGGAAATGCAACCACAATGAGCTATCACTAGGCCTACAACACAGCCACAGGCCAGCAAGGAGGCAGACAAAGTGGATCTCACAT